CTCCTACTGGGGATGTGCCCGCAACCCAGGTACATGCCCTTGACCGGAATCGAACCTGGGACCTTTCAGTCCACAGGCCGGCGCTCTTTCCACTGAGCCAAACCCGTTTTGGCATTTATCTTTTTTAATATATAAGAATCGGCTGCCTCCTGCACGCCCCCCACTGGGGATGGAGCATGCCCATCCGCTCCCTGACCTTCTCCCCGGACTCCCAGCTCCTCGTCACGGCCTCGGACGACGGCTACATCAAGATCTACGACGTGTGAGTCGCCTGCTGAGCTGGGCTCTTGTTGCTAAAGACGCGTCGGGTCGCACGGGGCGGGGATTGTGGGGTGTCCGGGAGGCCACAGGCTGTTCTGCCGGAGGTGATTTCATTTCACGTTTTACACCGTAAACGGCTGCAGCGATTAAACTTGCCTGTCTGAGGTCAGGTTAAAAATGGTCCCTCCATCCTGGCCAGTGCGGCTCAGGGGTTGACTGTCGACCTAGGAACCAGGAAGTCACGGTTCGATTCCCGGTCAGGGCACATGCCCGGGTTGTGGGCTCGATCCCCAGTGTGGGGCATGCAGGAGGCAGCCGGTCCATGATTCTCATTATTGATGTTTCTCTCTCTCTCTTTCTCTCCCCCTCTCCCTTCCTCTCTGACATCAATAAAAATATATATGTATGTATATATTCATCTTTTTTTTAAAATATATTTTATTGATTTTTTACAGAGAGGAAGGGAGAGAGATAGAGAGCTAGAAACATCAATGAGAGAGAAACATTGACCAGCTGCCTCCTGCACACCTCCTACTGGGGATGTGCCCGCAACCCAGGTACATGCCCTTGACCGGAATCGAACCTGGGACCTTTCAGTCCACAGGCCGGCGCTCTTTCCACTGAGCCAAACCCGTTTTGGCATTTATCTTTTTTAATATATAAGAATCGGCTGCCTCCTGCACGCCCCCCACTGGGGATGGAGCCTGCAACCCGGGCATGTGCCCTTGACCGGAATTGAACCTGGGGCCCTTCAGTCCGCAGCCCGGTGCTCTATCCACTAAGCCACACCGGCCAGGGCAGTGTGTGTGTGTGTGTTTTCTCTCCGAGCCACGTGGGTGGTGAGGGCACCTGCAGGGAGGCACAGCCTGGATGGGCCCCCCATGCCCTGTCTTCAGTCTCTCCGCCTCGGAGCGGCTGCCGAGCGTGGCCCCTCCTGTGTGAGCGTCTGCGCTCTGCTCGTCACGGCCCTGTGCCCGCTCTGCGTGGCATCGGCAGGCTCTGGGTCGGTGCCGTGGGGGACGTGCCTCCCTGGGGGCGTGTGATGGGCATGTGCTGCCATTGTCAGGGAGCAGGTGGGCCCGGTAAGCGGGCAGCTAGTCACGTGCTGACGCCTCTCCGCATTGGACCCGTTCTCGTTTCAGACAACACGCCAACTTGGCGGGCACCCTGAGCGGCCACGCGTCCTGGGTGCTGAACGTGGCCTTCTGTCCGGACAACACCCACTTTGTCTCCAGGTACGTGAGCCGCCTGGCACTCGGGTGGCCTCTGCTCGCTGCGGCCTTTCCCCTTTAGGTGGTGAAGTTCGCCGCCCTTCTGAACACGTAGTTCCAGCCCGTACTTTTCCTTGTGAATTTGGGGCTCCGCCTGCAGTTGGTTAAGGGGTGGTGGCTCCTGGCGAGAACCCTGCCGTGTGGGCCGGGCAGGTCAGGGTCAGGGCAGGAGGCCACCGGCAAGGGGCACAAGCAGAGTCGGTGCCAAAGAGTCCGGGATCTTTAGTCAGATTCCTCCCGTCGGACCAGCCTGAACATGTTTTCTGATACCAACGTTCCCTCTTCTGTAAAGTTCGTCGGACAAAAGTGTGAAAGTCTGGGATGTCGGAACGAGGACCTGTGTTCACACCTTCTTCGACCACCAGGATCAGGTACGGCGCCCGGAGCGCTGCGATTCTCGGGTTCGCTGCGTCGTCTGCCCCATGCCAACCCCTCCTGGCCTCGCTGCTGCTGGTGGTCAGGACGGTGGGCCGGCTCTGA